CACTGCCATTAAGGTCCTGAAGAGTAAGACTATCAGGTACGACTGGACTTTTGTAATTGGCTCTTTATAATGTTATATGAAAATCCACAGTTTTTGTTGCGTATTATGTGGTCCAACGAGGCACAGTTCTCGCGGGATGGTGTGGTCAACATTTTTAATGACCACTATTGGGCATCTGATAATCCTCATCGGTTGCAACAACACTACCATCGAGTACGATGGCGTAATATTGTGTGGTGTGGCATCTACTGTGACCACATAACTGTACCACTAACGACGGATCGTTTTTTGCAGCTAATCTTTTAAGGTGTTGTGGCTGCATCTGACCTTTAGTATTTTACCAGAGGGCAAAATTTCAAGAGTAAAGTACACCACTTCATTTTGTTGCCCAGTCGGTAAATATTTATATGAATTTTGTTTAGGACAATGAACTGGAAAGGCTGGCCCCGCCCGTGCTTTGGCCTGCACGAACTCCAGACCCAACACCAGCAGATTTCTTTCTGTGGGGTTACACCAAAGAACGTGTGTGTCACACACCCACAACAACTCTACCAGACCTGCAAGGACGAATTTGTATGGCATGTTCAGAAAACTTCCCGTGGAAGTCTTTGCAGAGATTCAACAGTTCATAAAACATCGCGCACAAGATGTATTTCTGCCGAAGGTCTACACATTTTTTGTAAGTTAAATTGATTTTGCTGAAACGCATGCTGTATATTTGTTACTTCCTGATGAACACAGGGGAGCCAGTTTGAATAAAACAAGGAACTTTGCTGGAGTAATATCATTAGGCTCTGCAACTTTGGTACCGACACATTTTTCCTCCTATTGATAATTTTCGTTATAGCATTTGGATGACCTAGATTTGACTTTAATATAATGACATCATGTCACGTAAAAAAATAACTCCCGATATGCCTAAACACCAATAGGGAAAAAATGAAGACTTTTAATTCACCGGTATATTTATTCACATTTTACTAAGTGAAAGTTGTCAAGGTGACACCAAATCGCTTCTTTACAATTTCAGAAGCATGTTTATTTTGTGGTATTTTCTATATTTACGAGGATACGTGGTGACTCCGTGCTATCTAAATTAGAAAATTATTATTTTTTCTTCTCAGTGTTTAAAGGTATAAACTTGTTTATGATAGTATCATATTTCCACAAGATATGTCAGTTGGAGTGAAGACAAGATGTCACGTTTGTATGCGTATAGCACGTGTTCAGACACACGTGTACACCTAAATTTGTGGATATCAAAAAAATTAAAAAATTACCCTCTCTCAATAATATGAACGCCGTAACACATAAAATATAGTCATTACTATACACAGTCTATACGTTTCTTGTTACGTTAAGCTAATGATGAAATTTTAATAAAGAGGCAAGAGTGGTCTAATGGTTAGAGTAGCCTTACCCCCTCACATTCACGGTGTGCTGCTCTAGCCGTTAGACCACTCTTGCCTCCTCACATTCACAGAGTGTCGCTCTAGCCGTTAGACCACTCTTACCCCCTCACATTCACGGTATGCTGCCCTAGCCACTAGACCACTCTTGCCCCTCACATTCACGGGGTGTCGCTTTAGCCATTAGACCATTCTTGTCCCCTCACATTCACGGTGTGCTGCTCTAACCATTAGACCACTCTTGCCCCCTCACATTCACAGTGTGCTGCTCTAGCAATTAGTCCACTCTTACCCCTCACATTCATGGTGTTTGTCGTTTATTTCTATTGCCTGTCTCGTTGTAAGTTTTTTTTTTAATAGAGCTTCCCGTATGGTGTGACTCCTCTCCCAAAAAGGACACAAAAAATGGATCTACAATGCAATGTTTTTCATTCCTCTAATTTGAAATCAATAATGGATTAATTGGAGAGGTTATAATAAGAAACTTGTACAATATAACATGATTTGAATACGAATGTTAGGCCTACTTGTTCTGTTGGATAAGAAGAAACATCTACAATCTAACATGATTTTAATATGAATGTTAGGCCTACTTGTTCTGTTGCTTAGCCAGCTTTTGATGTTGAACACCGCGACATTTACAGATTACATATTCTTTCAATATACCTTTTGGGAAAAAGCACTGTCTGAGTAATCAACCAGGTGTAGTTAGTTATAAGTTTAATAAGGATCGTCAAACCTATATAACTGAGCTCTTAATAAAAATCAGTGACCTAAATATTGGCAAAATATACTCAAACACTAAGTATTTGGATAATACTTTTCTAGCCAGCCGGATCAAAATGTGCTCAGATTTACATGACTTCGAGTGAAAAATTAACAACATGAGCCGCTTTTAATGATGGTGAAAAAAAAATCCTATCTTTGCAGTTGATTTTTAAGTAATATCAAAATATTAATTATTTCATTGAGATTTTTTTTTGGACTAAAATTTTTCCAAAGCTACTGTCTCCAATTTTGAGCTGAAGGCAGCTAATTAGCCAATAGCACTTACCGCTAACTATGTAGTTACTCTAATAGAATGATGGAACTTGGTCGTCATTCACATAAAATATTCTCGTCCTCAAAGTGAAGAACACGTTTTCTACAGCACCAGAATGCGAACCACGGACCCTCACATTCACGGTATGCTGCTCTAGCCATTAGACCACTCTTGCCCCCTCACATTCACGGGGTGTCGCTCTAACCGTTAGACCACTCCTAAGTATTAGAACCTGACTAACCTTGCAACAAATGTTAGAGCGAAAGGTTGTCCAATCTTCATGTTAAAAATTGCAAAAGGGGAAGTTTTAGATTGTTCTCGGTTTAGTAACTGAACATGATAACTAATTTTTCATAACATGATTTTTGCGTTTTTCTCTTCATATGGTGCTGGAGCTATACAGTATTCTGGAATTTTATCAGAGTTTTAGAGAATGTCGTGAATGAAAAAATAATAATTAAAAGTGCACCAAAACCAGCGGCAAAATTCGGTTTCATTTAGATTGTGGAAATGATGTAATTTTTTGATATAAATCCAACGGGAACATTGTATCTTTTCTCACATCAGATTCAACCCAACGTAACGGTTGTTCAGATTCATTCTCAATCGTTATTTTTCAAGATGAAATTTATTTTCAACATGGAAAAGTACAAATATTGCAGTACAGTCAAAATTACGCAGATAAACGACAACAGCCATCAAATATCCTTAAATGATATATATGTATATATGTATATATATATATATAGATGTGTGTGTGTATATATATATATAATAAATAG